TCTCCGCTGCCCTAGGAGTCTGATGTAGGAAGTTGACAGAGCAGGGCTCACATGATTAATTAGACTGGCTGGGCAGAGCAGGCCATTCCTGTCTGGCTGCCCAATCTTCTTCCTTGCCTAAGGAAGTAACTAATTAAGGAAGCTTAGATAAATGTGGCCCTTCTGCAGGGAACTGGAATGTCCAACATATGAAAAATGGGGAGAGAATGAAGTCATGCTGATTCTGGACATTTATTAGAATGTTTCTCCTAATCTAAACAGGCAGGCATTTTTTTTTATCCTGAACCTTTCTGAAGAGAGAGATGAAATCCATATCCAATTCTTTCACATGTCACCAAATGGTTTCCTTTTCCCCAGAATTCATTCAAGATTTATTCTCCTCTGGCTGGCTTAAAATCTGTGAAGAGTAAAGATAATGGAAGAGTAGAGCTTTTGAGCTACATCACGAAGAAGCAGCATTTTTACACCTAGATCACTGCAAAAGACACATTTTTATGGATTTTTAAAAATGTTTTAGTCATACACAGGCATTTGCCTACCCACGGACCATATAATGCTTGAAATTATAGTCTCAAAGTCAATAGTCATTTATCAGATTTAGAGGGAAGAAAATGGGCTCAAGAATTTCCTTAGGTACAGAAGAGATTCTGGGGGAAGAAGCTGAGTAATAGGAATGAGAAACCTGAAGTAAGGGTGATGAAAGCGGTTTCAGGCATTGCAAGATGTGGCTTCAGATCTACACTGGAAGTGAACTGAGACCATCTGAAATCCCCATCAATCAGTGCTGGATATCTTCCATTGTTCATGTCCTGGCTTCTACTTGCTTTAACCTTACCAGAAAGCTAGGATTTAGTGACACTGGTGCTTGGAATTCTCTTCCTGGGTGAATCTGAAGCCACATCTGGTGGTACCAGAAGCTTTCTACTACACGATAGAGATGGTTGTGGATCTTTTGCCAATTCTTATTGGAACACAGGAAGTTAAAGACAGGAGTTTGAGGCTCTACAGGAACGAGCACCTTGTTGTTGAAATACAGCTCCCAGAATCTCTTAGAATAGGTCTGGATACCTGGACTTGCTGGAAGTTGCAGTTCAGGAAAGTTTGGAAGGTCACAGATCTCCCATTTCTGAAATAGAGGTAGGTGAATTATTGATAGCTCAGTGACATTAAGATAGAAACACTGAGATTACATCCATCTATTAAAGCTCAAGATTTGGACACAGGAGAGTCTCGGCCTTTTTTGTGTTTTGTTAATACTCTGAATAAAATGAAGAAACCTCATCAGCCAAAATGAAAGAGAAATGTAACTGAATTTGAAAAATTGACTCATGTGTATTGAATACTCATCAAAGTAAAATGGCAGGGAATACATTAAACAAATCAACTTCCTTTCCCATTTGGTGTTCAACAAAGGCCATGTTTACACTTGCTGGTTAGGCACAAGGAGTAGATCCAGACTGAAAAGGTGACTGTTTCTTTGGCAATTTCAGGCTGTGCTTTTGTCTGATCCCATTTGAATTAATTTCTTAAGATGGATTTAATAAGCTATCTATTAAATGCTGTAATAACATCCTGAATAAATTTCTCTTTACAATGCCACAATTTGTACGTAATCTTATAGGAAGAAAAGACTATGTCAGGAATGATTTAGGGTGCATAAACTCAACACTTCCTATTGCTTGATAGTTCTGAAGGATTTAGCTCCTGAGCCATTTTTCTCACAACATTAATTCATTTAAAAAAAATGGAATAGAATTTTGATTTAAAAGGAGAGATTTAGTTCATCTTCTCCCAATAACCTAATACCTATTAGTTTATCATAGATGTATGTGTTTGCTTCTGCCCTCTTCTTTTTTGGAGTAGGACAGGCTACTAGGAAAAAAATTACAAGAAATGGAAGAGGAGGTTAGCCTGTACAAGAAAATCTGCATTGACCTCTGAAAAACTGGGTGGCCGTGTCTACCTTTCAATTGTTTTGTTATGAATGCCTTGGTATGGACACCCTGACCAAAAACAAGGCAACCACATATTAACTACGTATTAATCTACTCAGATCACATAATTTATGGTTCAGTGAACCTGGCAAACCCAGAAAATTGGATGAAACAAGTAACTCATGGTTTTATTAACCAAAGTTTGCAAACAGAGTTGCCTACACGGAGATGATGATACAGACAGTAACATGCAGAATGTCCTCTGGAAAATATGGGCTATCCTTGTGCTGGGGCAAAGAGTCTGTGTGGAGTTGCCTTGGAAAGTAAATAGAGCTGAATTTGACTTCTGGCAACTTCATGGATATTTCAGGTAATTAGTTTACTCAGTTGAAAGGCTTGGCAAGGCCAGGTGTATCTCTCTCATCTTTCTCTCTGAGACTTGTCCTTCATCCCTTCTTTTTTTTTTTTTAA